ACAAGTCTGCAGTGTGCATTTAACAAAAATCTTGCTTCTTCCACATCTAGGACTTTACTGCTCTTACTCATTGCCTGTCTGTAGCTTCTTTTCCCTTACTATAAAACCAACTATCCTCCATAGGACAGTCACATTTCAGGTAAAAGCAGCAGACTTCACAGACAACCTTATTATTACCACTATTATTATTATCATTACTATTATTATAATTTCACTGCCATACAAGAGAGAAATTATACTACAACCTTCAGTCATGGAGTAAGTTCATATTATCTAAATGACATACACCATGTATGTATGTAAATGACATAGAGTAAGAACAAGTCATGAAGCAGTAAGTAAAAGTAACCACATATTTAACTAGCAAACAGCTATAGAAGTTTAATACTGATGCCTGTAAAATATACAGCTGGATCTTCCATACTTTTAAAGTAACAGGCCCTTGCTAAAGCACAGGCATGTGTAAGAAATCCTAACAGTATAAATGACATTTTAGGTACTTGCAAGTTGTTATTTTACATGCCATCTCTCCTCTGGTCTCTCACACAGCCAGTATGCTCAACAGTAAAGTGTAATACAAAAGCACTTTATCAAAGTAACCCCTTATTTACTTTATCAAGGTAACCCAGTTTACTGTCACTGCAGAAAACCACCATATAGAGGCAATATTAAGAGAAAAGCCTGACAAAACTGCAGTCATTTTTCAAGAAACAAACACAGCCTCTACTTGCCATTATTTATGTCTGTATTTCCTTTTGTTTTCCTCCCTCCCACCTGGTGATGAGCCCCTCCAACTACAGCAAAACTATTCTCAAGGGGAAGACCTGAGGCACTGAATCATATAATCAAGAGTAAATTCTGCAAGATAGAAGATAAAGTTCAGTTCCTCATCACAACAAGCTGATAGCTATTTAATTTGACTAAGTGTTCATAAAGATTTCTTTTCCATTGGTAAGTTCTCTGACACATGTTAAGTTACTTCATGTCTTGCTTTACTAGTATCAATCAACTTCAGACAAACCACAGTGCAACATTCACTTCTTCCCTTGCCTCAAGGGAAGGTAAACAGGCAGCCTCCTTTTATTAGGAGGCCTCCAAAAGTACAGCAAAAACAATTAAAGTCTCATGGTTCTAGAATACGTAAAGAGAGTTACAATTCTTTAAAACTATCACTGAGTTTAATTTTACAAAATGCTCTTCTCAGTAACTTACTTGTATCTCTGTAATTCCCAACATCATAAAAAATGCAGTGGCGTTATTCTTTCTGGATATAAATCCAGATGGGCTAATCCAACAAAGCCATAGTATCTTCCATGAACTTTCATGGAAGAGTGAGAATTTTTCCCCATGGAGCAACTTCTCTACATCTCTTTTTCGGTTTATGAAACACTAGCAAAAAAACCTACAAAACGCTGCCAAATCTGACTTCTTCAATGTCAACTTCAAAGGCTCATGTGACTTAGGTTTGAATCAAAAAGGAGAAATCCAGCCACACACAGCTTACACAGCACAAGAGATCGTGCTCTCACACAACCACGTGCACATACCTGAGGATGCAAGATGCGTTTTCAGCATCTTCTGTGACTAACAGACTTAAAAACCAAACATTAACCCATCAGACATGGTATGTGCCCTATGTGCTGCTCCAGGTCATCCTGCTGGTACAGCTCCCTTTATCAGTTGCCCTGCTCAGGCCTGCATTGAGCTTTCCAGAAGGCAGGCCACACTCAAGCCACCAGCTACTCCAAAAAGGAACAGAGCCAAGGATTAGAGCCAGGGTTACAAGACTTCACCCTGTGGGCTGACTTTCCCACTGAACTAAATTCCCTCACCAAACTATGGCAGAAAGCTGCTGTACTTACTTTTCTTACAAGCCAAACGGGGGAAGTTACACTACGGGGAGCACTGCACTCCAGACTCCAAGAGGTAAAGGAACCTCAGTTTGCAGAAAATACCCCTTGCTTCTATGTCTCTTTTTCAGCAGATCCTGGACAGCTGGGTATTATTACCTTCTCCTGAGCCAGTGCTGCCTCTTTATGGGATGTTGTTCTCTGGGATGCAAGAAATGAGTAATATCTCAGTCGTCATCATGATGTTCCTAAGAGGACCTTCCAAGACTAGTTATTCCTCTGGGTTATTCCAGGTCTGAGTCAGCCCTTTCCATTTACATTTCCAAGAAAGCATTCTTGAAATATTTTTTTACTGTTTTTACTGTTTCTGAAATAATTCCTTTATAATCACAGCTAAAGGAAGCTACTTCAGAGATGATAATTAAAGCCAAAAAACCCCCAAAATGTTTTACTGCTACTTACAGCTAAATACAAACGTTAAATCCTTTATACCAGCTGCATTTGTAGTACAGGCACACATACAACAAGAGCTGTAAAGAGGACAAGAACCCTCCTGAATGATTAGGCACAATGTCTTTGCTATCTGAGCTTTTTCAGTTCATTAATATTTCACTTTTATATATTCCTCAGCCGCTTTTACAACATGTTTCTTTCTCTCCTTCTTAAGTATGAGCAAGGAGGATTGTTTGAAGTAACTAGTAGACCTTGCCTCACATCCCCACCTCCGTGCCCCCCGAGAGTTTAACACTTCAATTGCAATATATACTAGATAGAAAAACACATCTGGCATAGAGACGGATAAGAGGATACTCTGAGTCTCCTTTCTAGTTACATTCAACTAGAAAGGTGTGTAATAAGAAAATAAAGCACGCTGCAGTTTGTATATGCCAAGACACTTAGTGCTGTCAATCCCAATAGAGAGACAGAGACATAAAGGTAGGAGGGAGGGGGGATCCCTTCCCTGTGGAAGAGCAAAATAACCCTGTTCCTTTGCGAGTCAACTTGCAGCAGCATCCTTTCCTTGCCAAAAATCAAAGACAACCTCCTTAGCTAGGAAAAGCAACACAAAAACTAACTAGAGGAAATAAAGGATTTCCAGGAACCTCTTCCATAACATAAGCATTACCCTCACCATCTGCTCCACTTTTTAAGCTTGCCATGCGATTTTGGAAAGCACATGCAGCATCCTCCAGCTCCTGCCTCCAAATCCATGGCAAAGGTCACACATGACCGCCAGTGGCCGGGCCCTACCCGTTCCCATTTCTGAAACCACTTCTTATCGTTTTCACAGGTTAACCGCAGATTGTCTAACACACACGGAGGGAAAGCGGGGAAAACGGAAAAAACAAACGCCAAAAAATAAACAAAAAAAAAAAAGCATGCGATTTCTTCCCTGTCACCTGCAGCAGCGAGGCCGGAGCGATGGCCAGCGAGGTTCAGCCGCCGGCTGCCCGCGCCGTGCCCCCCCAGGCCGGGCCCGACGAGCCCCGCGATGCCCCCAGGCCAGCCCGGCAGCACCGCGGCCCCGCCGGC